TATAAGACTTCTATAATATTGTTATTTGAATAAACATGATTACATTTCTGTTTTGTGTTGTGTGTGTTGCTTATGGACATATTTTTTGCAATTTATTAATTATATTCATTAGTCGTATTATACTTTTTAATCATTTTGCATATAAAAATGATAATTTTTATTTAAAAAAATTAATTTTCAATAGGTTTTTGAATAGATATATAATAAGGACCAATATTTTAAAGTTGCCGACTCTTGCTTTTTTAATTTTTTAATTTTACGTTTATAAAATTAAAAGATTTTATAATTATTTTTACGAGATTATATTCTAAATATTCGCTATTATATTTTACACATAATTTATTAAATTCGTAGAATTTATATTAGGTTACACACATAATATATATTATGAAAGGAATTCTATGCATGCATGCGCTGGTCTCTCTCTCTCTCTCTCTCTCTCTCTCTCTCTCTCTCTTTCTCTCTCTCAAAGTGTCATAACCTTTTTATTCCGGTTGCTGGCGTATACTGGTTTGTTGCTGAGGGGAATTGGCGAAATTTCTTGCATCTAGTTTTCGGTTCTACGATTCTGCGAGTTTTACAACAATTGCACAGCAGCAAATTTAAAGTGTATTATCTATTCTCACAATGTTTCGATTACTTGCTTCGCTGCGTGCCCAAAGTGGAACCTTGGTAAGTGCTACCGAATTTAACCGAACTCCTGTCATACGTTTCGATTAAGCTCTAACATTTTGCTGACTCATTGCCTACAAGTGTGGTTAATTCTGCACTGTACATATTGATACAAACAAAAGTATTATTATTGTTTCTTCAATCTGTGATGGATTTCTTTCATGCTTTAATCTGTTTATTCAATCTTTATGTTTGTAGATTGCCACTGCAACTAGTTCTTTGATGAGAACTGACAACACATTATTGGCAAAAAGTGTCCGTAATTTGACAGTGAGTTCAAAATTATTCAGCGATGGACCGCAAATCCAGAAACCTGCTCCGGATTTCTCTGGTACTGCAGTAGTTAAAGGTGATTTCAAGGAAATCAAGTTGAGTGACTACAAAGGGAAATACGTTGTTTTATTTTTCTACCCGTTAGATTTGTATGTAATTTTATCTCGATTATCTCATTTCTAATGTACGTCTAGTATAATATTTAATTTTTATATTTTATTTGCAGTACGTTTGTTTGTCCGACAGAGATAATTGCATTTAGTGAAAAGATCTCAGAATTTGAAGCCTTGAATACACAAGTGATCGGAGTGTCTACAGATTCGCACTTTAGCCACTTGGCATGGATTAATACTCCAAGGAAACAAGGTGGTCTTGGAGGAGATTTAGGTTATCCTCTTTTGAGCGATTTCAACAAGACTGTATCAACCAAATACAACGTTTTGTTACAAGATTCAGGAATTGCTCTTAGAGGTCTTTTCATTATAGACAGGGAAGGAATTCTTCGACAGTTTTGCGTCAATGATCTTCCGGTTGGCAGAAGTGTCGAAGAGACATTGAGATTGATTAAAGCTTTCCAGTTTGTTGAGAAGCATGGTGAAGTATGTCCTGCAAATTGGCAGCCAGATTCCAAAACCATTAAACCAAATCCAAAAGATAGCAAACAATATTTTGAATCGGTTAATTAAGCATTAGGAGGATTTGTGCAGGGAATATATATAAATATATATAACATAATAGATTATTATATAATATAATACAGTTAATAGATAAAAACTTAATGTAATATAATTCTAATTCAATAAGCTTAATTTTATAATATGTCATATTTATATGCTCCTTTCATATGTACATTACACTATACTTATTTGTGTGATTTTATATAAAATCTTAAAAGTGGATAATAAGATAAATGTGTGAGTACATGTCTACTTGAATATAGATAAATTTAATATATAGGAGGGGAAAAAAGATTGTTAATCTGATTTTTTCTAGAAGATTGAATGACATGGAATGTTTTGCGTTTCAATTTTTTTTTTCATTTCTCATCAGTTAATAAATATATGGGACATAAATATATAATATATATTTATGTTCAGAAAATCGATATTATAATCTTTATACAGATTGATATACATTAACAATTTTTTTATTCAGCAGTATATGAATATGTAATTTAAAATTATTAGAAAGTATTTATGTTTTAATAAATCAAAAAATGTCTTATTTTATATATTTATGTTTTAATTTATCTTTTATAAAATATAAAATGTTAAATGCACTCGGTAAATTGTCATTTAACAATCATTTAATTCACGTAAAAATGTGATAACGCAATATATGAATAATTAGCGTTGGCTATTAAAATTATTTGAAAACATGAGATGTGTAAATACATATTATATATATATATATATTGTGTGTGTGTGTGTGTGTGTGTGTGTGTGTGTGTGCGTGCGTGCGTGCGTGCGCGTGCGTGTGTGTGTGCGCGCGCGCGCGCGCGCGCGTGTGTGTGTGTGTACTATAAGATACTATAAGATAATTAAAATGCGTGCAATGTAAGGCAGATGACGGAATTAAAAGCCGTTACAATATCAGTAGGTAGATAAGCTGGCGCGTTGTTGGCGGAGGCTGCTTCTAAAGGCTGCTCATGATAAATTTAGTAGAGTGAGCTTATTATTTCGCGAAGAGAGAGGATATACCTACGTCGGAGCATCACGTTTCCGAAGTCTCAGGGAACGCCTCTGAGGAAGAAGGATAAAATAACTAAAGAGAGAGAGAGAGAGAGAAAGAGGGGGGGAGGAGAGAGAGAGAGAGAAAGAGAGAGAGAGATATGAGATGAGATGAGATGAAAGCTGTGGTTCTTGGGAAAGCGATGAGCTCAGAATGCGTCGCGAGAACGTCAGGAGATCGTGAGAGGAAGAAAAACCGAAAAGCGACGCCTGAGATAAACGGCTCATCCTTCGCTCCCTACATGTCATCCTCACGCCAAATCCAATCCCAGTTCGTCACCCCCGTGCGCGCATGAGAATCTCAAGACTAATCACATTCGCATTTCACGGCACCGTCGTGTGTCAACAAGTCGCATGTCGCAGCAGTGTGGCCTTGTTATCAAAATATAAAATAATAGGAAGAGTGTGTCGGAAAAATGAGACTTCTTATATATTTATATTTATCTGTATTATTTTTGAAGAATATTCTCATGTAGGCAATTAAATTTTAGTAGAAATGTTAAATAGTAAAAATTAATGTAATTTTTATATCCTCTACATGTCTTTTTGTATTGTGTAATTTGCGTTGTAGAAAGCAATTGATTTGTGAAGCATATTTCAAATTATTAAGCAATATTTCACTGAAATAATTCGCTTTGTATTCCGGTAACTACGGTACAAGATTGCAAACGTAATCGTTCAATTCACTATTATATTTTGTCGATTAAGTGGTCAGATTATATCGGCATTGTATTGCCGAGTCTAATCGAGGGATTTCTTGTTCATCGCCCTCGGTTTATGGTCCTTCTATTGTGGGACAATTGAGCGCGTAACAGTAAGGTTTCGGATCCTAATTGTACTGACGACAGTACTTTAAACGATCTTAGTAAGCACAAATTTTTATTTTGATTAAAAAATTATTATCCCACGATAATTGTTAATCCTGGCTAGATGATTAGGTCCAATTACTTTGCTCTTGAGAAGGTCTCTCTCTCGCAATAAAATTATTAAACATTCGTAATAATTAAACTTCCCAGATAACATTTATGTTACATAAGAGAATCTAAAAGACATTTTTTCTAAGATATCTTATGTTTATGCAACATGCATGTTATCTGGGAATTTATCTTGTAGAAAAAGTGAAGTTTACTTACGCTCTCAATTCAGACTTACGCATGTTTACGCTAATGTTATTATAATAATATTATATCGTTTCCGTCGATTTCTTTTACCTCGAAAGAATCCTTATTGCCGACACGTTGGGCATGTCTTTAGCATTTTAAGCATGATAGAGAATCTGCGTCGTTTGAATATAACTCATCCCAAGTTCTTCCCCTCCTCGCCTCTCTCGCTCTACCTCTTGAAGACGCCTAATAACCTTCCTACGCGACTGCTCGCGAAAGGAACATTTTCTTAAAGGAGCATTCAGGACGCGCCTTGATGACGGCTATAGGTGGATATTATAGTAGCGGGGCTTATCCTTGGTGGTTGCTACTTCCAGGAGGGAGTAAGATGAGTAAAGGAGGAGCGCGCGCGGAACTCGTACGGGATACGGGGGTTCGAGGCGAGGAGACACGACGAAAGGGGAGGAAGAACGGGTAGCGGGATCAGAGGGGAACGCATGGAAGGGTGACAGAAGGGTGGAGCGCGGGAAGGGAATAGAGGGGCCGGAGGCGTGCATCCATCCATATCCATCCCAGGGTGGCTACCGGGACTTTGATTACTTGTTTTAATCTTCCGACTGCCGACTGGGCGAGCATCTGTCACTCAAAATCCGTAATTGCGCGCGGAAGCCGCCCCTTCTCTCGCCCGCGCCGCGCCGGTCCATCGACGAGCCACGGTTCTGCCTCCCTGCATATTGCTATTACTTCCTTATTGGTGTCGTTTAGCACTCTCGTTCAACCGCGAACTGCGTCGATCACGCAGGCTGTGCTCTGATAATCACGACGCTACGTTGCCTGTCGTCAGTCAGATCGAATTTAAAGCTGGGGGCTTCCCGATTTGGTACAGAGATCTTTTTCAGAGTCGAACAATCCTTGCATAATGTGTAGCGATAAAACGCCCGCTTTTTTTTCTCCAAAATTCTGTCATGTTTAAATAATATTTATTTTCATAATTCACAGCACTAGAAGAAAACTGGAAATGTGGAATCGTTTGCGCAAACTATATTAATATATTTTGTAAAAGGAAAAAGCTTTTACTTATTCTTTCTTTTGTACTCAATTCATTTAAGGCTCGCCATTGAGGCGATTTGAAAAGATAAGAAAAAAAAGCATTTGCCGACCCTTGATTTGAATACAAACAAGCAGTTACATTCTCGCAACGTAGTATTGAATAGTTAGGGATGAGTATTAAACGAACAAACCCCTTAGCGTGTCCATCCCCGACAATATATCACCTCGTGTATATATAATATACAGCACCGCTGGTTGCTCATCAGTTTGATGAAAAGATATTTCCGACACGCCATCGCGTTATGCAAATACTTTAATTGTAGGAAATTCTATAAGCAGACCAATTATGTCTGACTGTGCACTAACGTTAATTCTCGACCGTTATAATGACGGGGATCAAATAGGATCTTGTGATATTGTCGAATATTTTATCGTTTTTCATTTCATAATTTTTATTAATTAAAACAAAAAAGTAATAATAACTTAGTTTTTAATAAGATAGTTTTTAAAAAATATAATGTTCTTTAATAAGATAGTCTTTATTCGCAATATTATCTACATTCCGTTCATTAATCTTCATTAATTCTGAAAAGATTTTCGTTTAAAAATAGAGTTGATGACTTAAATTTATTCGGATTCCTCAGAATTAACCTGCAGAGCCTCTATTATATCTTCAAATACATCCCTACAGATATATTATACGTCCGCGTAATCTTGACGATCCCAATCATTCTAAGCGAGAAATAAGACGCAGGTCGAGCGGCGCGTCCAGTCTTTCGATAGGATTTCTGCTACTCCTCTAATTGTCGAAGTCATTCGTCCTCTTCAAAAGGAACAGATGCACCAGACTGTATTGAAGAACGAGTCTATCAGGGACCCAGGGGGGTCCCCGGTGTTCGTCTCTTGGGGTTATTTTCAGTCGATTATCCCCAGAACGCCAGGGTCAACGTTGTGCTTTAGAAAGTGAAAGCGCAAGAGAGCAGACGAGTCTATTAGCGCGGAGAAAGGCCGCGCATTTGCGTATACGTCAGTCTCTTTTCATGAATTAATTTCAATACCATAGAAATATTACGCAGACCATCCTCTGTTCCCTTCCGCGTCTCTCTCTGTTTTGTTCTCGCCATGTACGCATCTTTTTTTCTCATATTTCGTAAAGCTATATCATGTTCTGTTTAATCTATAGTGTCAATTTTAATCTAATTTAAGTCACCATTGCTCTTACTCAATATATCACTATTTTATACTAAAACAATGGATAAATTTGACACTATATGGTGTCAAATTTATCCATCGTTTTAGTGTAAATGTGTAAAATAACGATATATAGGAGCAGTGGCAACTTAAATTAGATTAAAATTGACACTATATAGATTTAACAGTGTGTACATGTAATTTTACACAAATACAATTTATATAAATTCACAATACCTGATAGGAGAGATAATAAAGAAGTTTCAAAGAAAATTTTTAAACAATACGTAAAAAAGAGGAGTAAATATTATAATGAAATGCTGAACCAGATATCAAGGATCTTGGTGCGTGTTCAGGGAACATCGCTACGTTGCAACGTTTCATGTAGCACGTCATTAGAAATATTCAAAAGGCTGCTACTTCAATTAAGAGATTTGGTTTAACACGAAAGAAAGAACCGCATATCGCATGTGTGCGGTGGAGGCGGTACGATTGTATTTTATCTCACGTTTAATCACCATTGCTGACCCCAACTCTGACGACGCTCCTAAGCTGCAGTAATTACTTAGATGGACGCTTCGAAATCTTTAGATCTGTGTGTAACGCGAAAAACAATCGGTCGACGATCTTTTTTGACGCAACGATTACATTTGAACTCTTTCTGAGCGTTTCGGGATCCTACCAGACTCCATCATCAGGATCTTTAGATTCGGAAATAAATGTACGTGATGATCATTGATGTATAGAATATAAGAGAATAATTAAACATTGTTCTAGTATTAATGAGAAAGAAAGCTTATATAGTAAACAAATAATCATTTTTTTACTATAATCATTATACTCCTAATTAAAAGAGAAAAAAAGGAATTATAAAAACTTATTATTTTCTCAAATTGCTTTTTTATATAT